TAATTTTTATTTCTTATTCTTTTATCTAAACCTCGCTGAACTTCTCTATTAGATCTAAGTTCCCTGTAGATTCTCTTGGATTTTCTATGCAAGCAATTGTATTACTTGTATATGATAATTTTGTTTCTTATGTTTACTTTCTATATTTCAAAATTCTTAGTAGGTTGATGGTATTCTTTTTTGTTCTATACTGATATGAATTTATTCACTTAAAATATACAACCTGTCATATAATGGAATTTAAGACAGAAGAAAAGGTAGATGTTCCACTTTAGTTCACCAATTTTTACCTGTATAATTTTAAATAATTCATTTAACCCTTAATTTCTTGATTTTATCCAGTACTATTAATGCCAACACTGCCATTTACTCTCCTCTTCTTCCTTGATGACAGAATAGGATTTTATTCAGCTAAATATCCCAAATCACACATCTCCACAAGTACTCTAAGTCAATCCTTGCCAGCAATTGGTTAAAGGTGTACAAGTGATTCAGTTCTGGCTAGCCAAACATGTGAAATCTTTTTTTGTTTTCCCTTTTTTGTGAGTGGGGGTGGGGAAGTGGGGAAGAAGGGACAAGAGCCTTCTGAAAGTTTCATGGCTTTTAAAACAAGATGCATAGGAAAAAGATAGTCTTGTTTCCCTTGCTAGATAGTTTTGTTTGCATGTGGTATTTGTAACCATGGCAGCCATTCTTCTAGTTACCAAGGATTACAGGTTAAAAAGACAGAAAGAACCTGGGTCCTTGATAACATCCTTAAGTCTCAGAAGTAACCACACCTGGACATGTCTCTATTTTGAATCACCTCAATATTTGAGTAAAAATATTTTTTTTGTTTTACTACTTTGAGTTGAGCTTTCCTTTTTCTTTATTGCTGAGATAAGCCTTGGCCAGACCTCCCTCACACATAGAAGACTGCAGTGAAGAGCCACTATGGACTGAGTACCCCACTGCTGAACAGAGGAACTTACAGCCCTGAACCCAAAGAATAGGTCTGGATATCGTGGCTCGTTAGGTAGCAGAGTTATTGTTTTACATGGCAGTATATATATATTTTTTGTGTAGTGACATATCTGGAGGCTTAAAACATAATGTGCCCCAAATTCTGTATTTCTCCAACTTGATGGATATTTATTTCACTTTGTTGGGCTACCAAGACCTCCAAACTTTGGACATGATTCCATAATATTTAAAGGAAGCACAGAGGAGCGATGTTGACCTATTTGTGTCCTTATTTCAGATACATTCTTTGCATGACTACTCTGCTTATCAGCTGCTTTAGAGCAAATAATAGCAAAAACAATTTTTTTTCTGAGCTAAGTATGAATTATCATTTCATCTAGTCAGGAACCTGACCTAGATTGTTGAAATGGTCTTGCTCACTGAGCCTGTAACTGTAGACAGTATTTACTGAACTCTACTCTGTGAAATGAGGAAATCAGCATACCTACACTTTCCTCTCCTTTTTTGGTTTAGCACTTAGTCATTTACTGCTGTTAACTTTTGGGTATTTATATATTAAATACCCTAAACTGACTATAAGTTCTCAAAGTTGCCTGTGTCATTTTTTCTTTGTCTTCCTCACAATACCTATCATAGTTCCCTTAAATATGTTTTATGAAAGATTAAATACAAAGGAACTATTAAGTATTTCCTCTTCTTATGCTATCTTACAGTGAACAAGTTATAACAAGAAGTAGCTTATCTTTAATTTATTCTCAGAACATACTACTATTCCTTCTTTGTTTCTCTTCCTTCTCTCCCCTTAATTCCTCTTTGAATCCTTTATTCCACCCCAAGATTTACAAAGTTATTCCTTTCTTTGTTATTCTACCATTAAAATTTTTTCCCTATCTCGTCTCTCCCTTTCTCTTTCTCCCTTTCATCATCTTTTAAAGTGAAATGAAAGTACATTATAGTATCTATTATATTTATTGAATATAATTTTATAGTAATAGCTAGCATTTATTAAATGTGATAAGATGCCAAGTATTATGCTAAGAGCTTTACATGCATTATCTCATTTAATGCACACAACCACCTATGAGGAAAAGGAATTAGTTACTAGAATCTTTTTATAAATGAAGACCCAGAAGCTTTAAAAGGGTAAATAAATTGATTGTCGAACCACCTAAGTTAAGGTTAGCACTAGGATTTGAAACTAGAGCTTACTTTTACCACCATTACATCATACTGACTTTCTAATTTATCTCCTTTTTCTTCCTTCCTGAATTAGTAAGGCTCCAGGAAATATCATTAAATACTTAAAAAATAATCTGAAAAAATATACACACATGGTTTAAAAAATACAGAAGGCTTAATATGAAGAAAGAAAAATCTACAGCCTTAGTTCCACTTCTCAGAGATAATACTTTTAACCATTTGCTTTTTTGGCTCCTGATGATTCTCTCTATACCTGCTGCTTATACAGACTTAAATATTTATGCTACTATAACTACTCATTACCTGTCATGAGAGAGATTTAACTCACCCACAACACCCAACACCCCCAAACTATTCTTTCCTTATGCTCCTAATATAATAATACCACTCCAATTTCAAACAACATAAATAAACTTCATTTTCTGTTTCAATAATCATCAACAGTATTTCCTGATATTCTATAAATTAAACTGTGTTTCTCTTTATTGATTTAATAATTGTATATGTTCATCTTAATATTTTTTTATCTCAAAAAACAAGATTAACTGCTTTTAAATTGTAGGTCTCCAAGTACTTTGTTATGAGCCAGCAGTCTTTTAATTGAACGAATACGTCCCCTTTTCTTATCCTAGCAAACCAAGGATGGTGTTTTGAGTCTTTCATAAAGGTCCTGGGAGTAAACTTGACACCTTTGTTGTAGCAACTGGGCTGTCTTATTATAAAGAGAGCACATACCTTTAAAAAGTATCGCCTGCTAAACGAGAGCACTCACCTGCTGTTGCCCCTGTAACCGCTGTTGAAGTTGAAGTCGAAGTTGGTTGGGTGCAGCTGGAGGTCTGTTCAGAGTTTGCCTGGGCTGCATGCCCATGCCAGGTGAAAAGGCGCCTCGGGGAGGTGTTACTTGAACAGGCATAGACCCCAATGAAGGTTTTTGCCTGACCATGCCTTGGAAAGGGCTCGTGAGATTGGCAGTAGGTGAAGGAGAAGAATAAGGCTGGGAATAAAGGTTGGGTCTTTCTTCCATCATTAAAGGTGGTGTTGCTTGTTGTGGTGGAAATCTCTCTGATAATACATCTAATCCACCTCCCTGTTAGAAAATAAGCGAGGCTATTTTACACATATGTTTCTGCCAATAAGTGACATGTTTCTCTATGTAACTTTGGATTTGATAGCATCTCTAGAACGTTTCATCATAATCTATTCATACTGAATTCATGAAGCTCTCCAGATGTTTACTACTTAAAGGAACTACCTCTGAAAGTTACTTTTGAAATGGAGTAATAGATTAACTGAGATGTTTATATTTATTTCTTTTTTTAAAATATATTTTTATAGATTTCAGAGAGGAAGGAAGAGGGAGAGAGAGATAGAAACATCCATGATGAGAGAGAATCATGGATCGGCTGCCTCCTGCAAGTCCCCCACGGGGGATCGAGCCCACAACCTGGGCATGTGCCCTTGACCGGAATTGAACCTGGGACCCCTCAGTTCGCAGGCTGACGCTCCATCCACTGAGCCAAACCAGCCAGGGCTATATTTATTTCTTTTTTAAAATTCTTTATTGTTGAAAGTACTACATATGTCTCCTTTCCCCCCATAAATGAGATGTTTAAAATCTCAGTAAAGAAATGAAAATGCAGTTAAAATGAAGATCCTAAATCAATGAAATGAAGCAAAAAGGTTTAAAAAGAACTTCATTGCAAAGCCTAAGAATCTACAATATTATATTTACTAGGTTACTACAGATGTAGCTTACTAAAGGAGGGATGAGTCAGGCATTTTTCTATCTTAAATATAGAATTCATGTTTTTATCTTATTTGAAAAAAATTCATAGTTCACCTAATAGAATGCTGTACAGGTGGGCTTTCCTACTTGTTTACTATTACTCGTTCTAAGAAAAATAATTTAAATTGTGACCTGTTGTGTGTAAAGGTGTGTGTGTGTGTGTGTGTGTGTGTGTGTGTGTGTGTGTGTAACTAAAAGGAGAGTTTCATGAAGCATAACTTCCTCTGGACATTGAAATATGGAAAATATAGGTTGAAGACTAGCATGAATAAAGGATATATTAAATCCTAAAATAAGAAGTGATGATATGAATCTGTATTCTATTCTAAGGAGAGCTTCTAAGATTGTTTCATAGTGAAAGGCTAAGACTTTCTAAGACTATTATTATTACTACTACTTTGTGTAAAATCCCATTATTACCTTTACCTATTATATATTTTGTTAACTTCCACAAGGGTAAATTATAAAACACTGTGAGAACAATACTGAAAAATCTTGCTTAAGAACCATTTTCTAGCTTCTCAGGGAGAATCATTTAAATAATGCCAACTTTAGTACATACCTGAACAAGTTTGTCAATTCCCAGAGCTCTGTCTAATTCAGCCAACTCAGTTTCATCTTTGCCGCTGAGGAAAGATACCAGCTGTTCAAGAAGCGCCTTCTCATCATTTCTTCCTTCTACTGTTGTTGGCGGACAGAGAAGCTCATCTAACTGTGAACTAATACACTGGCTGCAGAATTAAAGGACACAGTTTAAAACTGTAGAGCAAATAATTATTCAATCTTAAGAAAGCAAATACAATATAAATATACATGCAAATATATTCTAGAAAATTTTCTGATACACTTAATGTGCAGAAATTTATGAACATATTTTTCATTATTTTGCCAATCACTGAACTTTGTCTCCATATTCTTCATGTTAGCTTACAGAACTACTCTAAAAATTAACCAAACAGTTAATATAGGGAAAAAGAACTTTTAACAAAAATAGAAAATAAAAATCTCAGAAAAAAATAATTTAGTCTTTATTAAAATCTGTTCTGCCCTGGCCGGTGTGACTCAGTTGGTTGGAGCATTGTCTGGTACACCAAAACACTGGGTTCGATTCCTGGTCAGGGCACATACCTAGGTTGTGTATTCCATTCCAAGTCATGGAGCATATAGGAAGACAATCGATCAATGTTTCTTTATCACATTGATGTTTCTCTCTCTCTCTCTCTCTCTCTCTTCCTCTCCCTTCCCTTCTGTCTAAAAATCAATAACCATGTCCCCAGGTGAGGATTGGAGGGAAAGATTTATTCATTCAATGGGTGCTATTAATTATTGATAATTGAACCACAATCAAAATAGTATACATTGCATTACCTAACATCAAGGATGATTAGATCATATTGATAACATTACATGATTGCCATTTTAAAAAGAACTTAAACTAGAAAAATGAAACATGCTTGGTATTAAGCAATAAAACAAATAGTTGATTACATGTAGGAAATATGTAATATAATCCCAAACTAATATCAAATGATGCATAAAACTTAGAAAGATATAGAAAATAATACTAATATAATAATACAATTATAGGGATTCTTCTTTGGAGAAGTAAGTGGGAACACATTTTATGTATTCACAGTTAAGGCTTTAAACCACACTCAATACTATCTAGTCACCTTTTGGTTGCTGTATATGGGATGTATTCTATGTTATGGAATAAAGCTACTTGTGTTGGTTAGAAATTAAATTCTAATCCAAATGGACACTGAGTAGATATAAAAAGTATCTTCCCTCCTTATACCCTCTTGCTCTAAATAAAGAGAAAAACTGGACAGAATAGTTACCTAACTAAAAGCTCAAGAGTAACACAGTTGTTGTACTGAGGCCGATTCGTTCATAGGTCCCAGAAACTTTATGGTAATCCATCAAAGCAAAGTTAAGAGATAAAAAATAAACCAACAGCTGCATACTGCATCCATCTCATGGTAATTACAATATACACTAGTCTTGCAGTCATGCAGTAAAATATCTGTTTAACTCCATCTTCCCCATCCTTTTTTTTCATTATCAATCACTTCTGTCAACATCCAACAAAATACCAATGTATCCTGGAATCCAGTTTGGGAAAAGTAGTTCTTTGTTGTAGAAGTTGGTATCTGATACTTTGCAAAATACAAAATATATTACTCACTCTTCTGGTTTGTTCTGATTCACAGCTGTCACTGTATTATTTGTCCATGGAATCTGATCAGCTGTTCCTGGTTGTCCAAACTGGTTATCAATTGCTTCCAATTCCAGCTCAGGTAATCCTGATTAAAGAAGCAAAGGTAAGAAGTCAGTGTCACAATGGAAGATAAAATGACAATATTTTTCAGAAGTAATATATAGTACAATAGAGTGAGATTTCAATTATATAATACTAGAGGCCCAGTGCATGAAATTCGTGCATGGGGGGGGGAGGTGTGTCCCTTAGCCCAGCCTGCACCCTCTCCAATCTGGGACCCCTCGAGGGATGTCCAATGGCCCGTTTAGGCCCGTCGGACATCCCTCTCACAATCCAGGACTGCTGGCTCCCAACTGCTCGCCTGCCTGCCTTCCTGATTGCCCCTAACCGCTTCTGCCTGCCAGCCTGATCACCCCCTAACCACTCCCCTGCCAGCCTGATTGATGCCTAACTGCTCCCTGCCAGCCTGTTTGCCCCTAACTGTCCTCCCCTGCAGGCCTCGTCACCCTTAACTGCTCTCCCCTGCAGGCCTGGTCCCCTCTAACTGCCCTCCCCTGCAAGCCTGGGTCCCCCCCTACTGCCCTTCCCTGCAGGCCCGGTCGCCCCCCAACTTCCCTCCTCTGCTGGCCTGGTCACCCCTAAATGCCCTCCCCTGCAGGTTTGATCGCCCCAACTGCCCCCCATTGCAGGCCTGGTCAACTCCAACTGCCCTCCCCTGCTGACCATCTTGTGGCGGCCATCTTGTGTCCACATGTGGGCAGCCATCTTTGACCACATGGGGGCAGCCATCTTGTGTGTTGGAGTGATGGTCAATTTGCATATTACTCTTTTATTAGATAGGATAGAGGCCTGGTGCATGGGTGGGGGCCAGCTGGTTTGCCCTGAAGGGTGTCCTGGATCAGGGTGGGGGTTCCCTTGGGGCGTGGGGCACCCTGGGTGAGGGGCCTGTGGTGGTTTGCAGGCCGGCCATGCCCCCTGGTGACCCAAGGGGAGGCTCTGGTATCTGGGATTTATTTATCTTCTATAATTGAAACTTTGTAGCCTTGAGCGGAGGCCAAGGCAGGCCAGGGCTGCAGAAGCTTGGCTTCCTCCATCGCCGGGGGCAACTCAAGCCTCCTGCTCTCTCCAGCTCTGTGGCTGCTGTCATTTTTGTTGGGATTTATTTATCTTCTATAATTGAAACTTTGTAGCCTTGAATGGAGGCCTGGGCCCACCAGGGTGTGCGGAAAGCTTGGCTTCCTCCATTGCCAGGGAAACCCAAGCCTCCTGCTCACTCCATGGCTGCAGCCATCTTGGTTTAATTTGCATACTCACTCCTTATTGGCTGGTGGGCATGGCTTGTGGGTGTAGCGGAGTGATGGTTAATTTGCATATCACTCTTTTATTAGATAGGATTACCTCAATGATACAGAGGTCACTTATTCAGAAACTTATACTATCTAGAAGGTGGCCACATAATGAGAAATGACAAAGTGAGAATAGGTCTGTGAATCAAAGAAAACCTGATGATAAAATGTTTGCACATAAGTTGATGTTACCATAGGAGAATCACTCCAGACCCGTGGTCAGCAAACTGCGGCTCGCGAGCCACATGTGGCTCCTTGAGTGTGGCTCTTCCACAAAATACCACGGCCTGGGTGAGTCTATTTTGAAGAAGTGGCGTTAGAAGAAGTTTAAGTTTAAAAAATTTGGCTCTCAAAAGAAATTTCAATCATTGTACTGTTGAGATTTGTCTCTGTTTACTAATGAGTTTGCTGACCACTGCTCCAGACTATTGGAAAATTTTCAAAGCTAATTATAACAATTTTGGTTAACTGATTTTTCAGTTTACAGCACATCAGAATACTAGTATGCTATAAGTAGGGTCAGTGTTATTATCATGGTCTGAGAGCTATAAACAAAAGGTAAAATATACTGTATAAAATGTACAAACTAAAGGGCATAGCCTCTAGGGTCATTCAGTAAATGGACAAAGCTCTATAGTTGTTAATCTTAAAATATAATCCTATATAATTCCTATATAATAAAGAGGTAATATGCAAATTGACCCTCATGCCCTCGCGTCACAAGATGGCCCCCACGTCATCACAAGATGGCTGCCACAAGATGGTCACCCCCATGTCGTCACAAGATGGGTGCCCCCATGTCATCACAAAATGGCCACCACAAGATGGCCACCCCATGCCATCACAAGATAGCCACCCCCACACTGTCACAAGATGGCCACCCCCACATTGTCACAAGATGGTCGGCAGGGGAGGGCAGTTGGGGGCAACCAGGCATGCAGGGGAAGGCAGTTGGGGGTACCAGGCCTACAGTGGAGGGCAGTTGGGGGTGACCAGGCCTGCAGGGGAGGGCAGTTGGGGACGACCAGGCCTGCAGGGGAGGGCAGTTGGGGGCGACCAGGCCTGCAGTGGAGGGCAGTTGGGGCGCCCAGGCCTGCAGGGGAGGGCAGTTGGGGATGACCAGGACTGCAGGGGAGGGCAGTTGGGGGTGATAGGGCTGGTAGGGGAGCAGTTAGGTGTCAATCATGCCGGCAGGGGAGTGGTTAGGTGTCAATCAGGCCGGCAGGGGAGCAGTTAGGGGGCTATCAGGCTGGCATGCAGAGTGGTTAGGGGCAAACAGGCAGCCAGGCAGGCGAGTGGTTAGGAACCAGCAGTCCTGGATTGTGAGAGGGATGTCCGAGGGGTCCCAGATTGGAGAGGGTGCAGGCTGGGCTGAGGCACCCCCCCCCCCACCAAGTGCACGAATTTCATGCAACGGGCCTCTAGTAGTATAATAATTGATGCTTATAATGACAAATGAAAAAAGAGATTGAATTATGTTTTGTAATAGAAGAAAACAGTATATGCATTTTAGAAAGTTTTTATGGGGGAATTTTTTTGAAAGCTTTGATAATTTATGTACCACTTATGTAGAAAAAACACTGTAAATAAACAAATTCTAGAAATTTAGGGACTGATAAATAAATTATGGAATATCCTACATAATAAAATGGTAATATGTAAATTACCATCACTCCGCTACGCCCACGATTGGGCCAGCAGGAGGCGCAGGGGGCGGGACTCAGGGTGGCCGGGGTAGCTGATTGGGCCAGCAGGACGCTGAGCTCTGGCGCCGCGAGCTCAGCGTCTGTGTCATGGCTGCCCCGGAGGCTTTCGGAAGGCCTGGGGCACCGGCGGACAGACACACAGCCGGCTCCCCCGCGATCAAAAGCCAAAGCGGGGGAGCTGTCTGTCTGTCAGCGCCGGCGCAAGGCCTTCCGAAAGCCTCCGCCGCGCTGGAGGCTTTCGGAAGGCCTGGGGCACCGGCGGACAGACACACAGCCGGCTCCCCCGCGATCAAAAGCCAAAGCGGGGGAGCTGTCTGTCTGTCTGCGCCGGCGCAAGGCCTTCCGAAAGCCTCCGCGGAGCTGGAGGCTTTCGGAAGGCCTGGGGCACCGGCGGACAGACACACAGCCGGCTCCCCCGCGATCAAAAGCCAAAGCGGGGGAGCTGTCTGTCTGTCTGCGCCGGCGCAAGGCCTTCCGAAAGCCTCCGCCGCGCTGGAGGCTTTCGGAAGGCCTGGGGCACCGGCGGACAGACACACAGCCGGCTCCCCCGCGATCAAAAGCCAAAGCGGGGGAGCTGTCTGTCTGTCTGCGCCGGCGCAAGGCCTTCCGAAAGCCTCCGCCGCGCTGGAGGCTTTCGGAAGGCCTGGGGCACCGGCGGACAGACACACAGCCGGCTCCCCCGCGATCAAAAGCCAAAGCGGGGGAGCTGTCTGTCTGTCTGCGCCGGCGCAAGGCCTTCCGAAAGCCTCCGCGGAGCTGGAGGCTTTCGGAAGGCCTGGGGCACCGGCGGACAGACACACAGCCGGCTCCCCCGCGATCAAAAGCCAAAGCGGGGGAGCTGTCTGTCTGT